ATCTCTGTAAATGTTTATGAAAATTAATAAAATATAATTATAGAAAAAGAAAATTATCAGTGGAGAATTGAAGTGATAAGCATTCTCCTTAACCTAAAACAATCATAAAATGAAGAAAATGAGATAACAAGTTAAGTCTGTCTACATCTGAAAATGTCTCTAAAAGTCATCTTCAGTCATTCGAAATTCTTTAGGGGTCAGACTTTACAAGACAGACTTATAGCCATTTACATGGTAGCTCACTGCTAACTAAGAAAGTGGTTTTTCTAGTTACTTAGTAGCCAGTTTACAGATAAGAAACAAAGTTAAAGATGCGAGATTATAATCCATGACATCTCTTTAGGTAATTGAAGTAATGCACTGCAGTGCATCTACAATGACATCTGACTGAGGAGTAAATAAGTTAGGGTATTTCTAGGTTGTGCTGCTACTGTCCCTTCTGGCATTCACAGTAGATATGCCCAAGGCAATGGGAAACATTTTTCTGGCTAAACCTAGTCATATTTTGATATATGTTCCAGGCAGTCCTTCTTTATCGATTTGACAGTTAAAACTTATGTACACTACCTGAATAAAGTACCTGGTCAGTGCATTCACGTTAAAGTTTGAGTATATTCCTTTCTTAACAGTAATGACTGGAAAACAGAAATAGTACCTTCAACATCAACTTCTAAAAGAAGTCTTTCAGAAAGTACTTTCTAACAATCTAGACAGCATGCCTTCTCATTTTAAAGTGTAAATGACCCTGCTTCCAAATGCTTATGGGGAGAGGAATAAACTAAAAGCAGCGTAGAAAATATTATAAAAATCATTTAAAAATCATAGAAAAGACTTTAAATTTTGAAGAAAAAATGCTTAAAATTTTAATGTATTTAACCTTAAATGCATTTAAGTACATTGAAATGTTAATGACAGATATCCCTTCCATAGTAAAATCACAAATGATTTTTATTTTCTTTATAATTCATTATTGTTAGCTTTGAAAATTAACCTGTATAGAATATGTTACTGCTTTTGTAATAGGAAAACACTTAAAAATTATAAAAATAATTGAGTTATAATTGAAAATACTCACAAATCTGTTTTATCAATATGAGTAAAAATAAAACAAAACCCCAAGCATTGTTCATAATTTCTACTACCTAGTCATGGTACTAGGGTTATTGTAGCTGATGTTAGATGGATCTTAGTTGAAAGCAAGGGATACCAGAAGAAAGTCTATCTTTGTTTCATTGATTACGCAAAGGCGTTTAACTGTGTGGATCATAATAAACTGTGGCTGACTCTGAGAAGAATGGGAATCCCAGAACACTTTATCTTTCTAATGCGAAACCTATACTTGGACCAAGAGGCAGTTGTCAGAACAGAGCAAGGGAACACTGCATGGTTCAAAACTGGGAAAGGCGTACACCAGGGATGTGTCTTATCTCCATACCCTTTCAATCTGTATGCAGAACAGATTATCTGAGAGGCTGGGCTATATGAGGAGAAGTGTGGCATCAGGATTGGTGGAAGATCTATTAACAATCTGCGTTAAGCAGATGACACAACCCTCCTTGCTGAAACTGAGGAGGACCTGAAATTCTTGCTCTAGAGGGTCAAGGTCTGCAGCCTTCAGTATGGATTGAGGCTCAATGTCAAGAAGACAAAGATTCTCACCACTGGACCAACTGGCAGCATCAGGATAGATGGGGAAAAGATTGAGATTGTTAACAACTTTAGTCTGCTCGGCTCCACGGTCAACACTCTTGGCACCAGTAGCCAGGTAATCAAAAAACATATTGCGATGGGAAAGTCTGCTATTAGGGACCTCTCCAGGGTACTGAAGAGCAATGGTTTCACTCTGTAGACAAAGGTGCATCTGATACAGGCTATGGTCTTTGCAATCACTTGTTATGCATCAGAGAGTTGGACAATAACCAAGGAGGATAGAAGGAGAATTGATGCCTTTGAGCTGTGGTGCTGGAGAAGAGTATTGAATGTACCATGGACTGCCAAGAAAACAAACAGATTCTTCCTAGAGAGGGTTAAACCAGGCTGCTCCTTGGAGGCAAGGATCCTGAGGCTTCGCCTGACATACTTTGGACATGTTGTAAGGAGGGACAGGTCCTTGGAGAGGGACATCATGCTGGGTAGAGTAGAGGGACAGCGCAGGAGGGGAAGACCCTCTATGAGGTGGATTGATTCAGTGACTGGGGTAATTGGAATGGGTGTGTCAGAGGCAGTGAGATTGGCACAGGATAGAGCAGGGTTTAGGGCTGTTGTATATAGGGTCGCTATGAGTCGCAAGAGACTCGACGGCACATAACAACAACAATATACTATTCAGCATTGAGTTACAGTCATGAGTATTCATAATGTCTCATGACTGTCTCATGATAATGAGATTCCCTAAAAGACTAGGAATTTAAAGGAGTAGAAACACTCTCCTACTTTAGGAGGGAGCTCTGGTGGCCTACTGGTAAGGAACTTGGTTTGAATCTTCCAGTTGCTCTAGGGAGAAAGATGGGTAATCTCCTCCCATATGATTTACTGTCTCTGAAAACCTATTAGAGGATGAGCTAGGTTCCAATATGACAGTACATAACAATTCCTATATTAGTCTGATTTTTATTTCAAGAATTAACTTCTCTCCTGTAAAAAATTTCTGCAGTTTTACTACAGCTTCCTAAAACACATCTTTTTTGTGATCCCTATGAACTGTAAGGTGGGTAGAAGGCATTTGAGGCAGACTGTCAGAAGGAAAGTATTATCTGGATGAAAAGCATGATAACAAAGGTTTAGTTGCAATCATGTGATCCCTTTAAAGGATAGAAAGCTCTTTCCTAAGGGAAAGAAGCCCATGTGTCCCTTGAGTTTTTTCACATGGGAAAATTAGCTTTAGATTATGTGGTGGAGGTAATTAACTTTCACCTACACTAGGTTTTGTTGCTTTAAGGGTCAGCACATGCCTTGCACAAAAAGAAATCTCAGCAGAAAAAAACACTTTATGGAATCTTATCCTTCAGATCTTCACCTACATGGGGTGGGTAGAGCTTAGGGGTCGAGCACTTGACTCCACATCTTCACCTACTGTCTTTTTCCTTCTTTCTGTTCAGGACGATAATTCTGAATTTGGGAAATTAAATTATCACTTTTCTATTTTAACACTGATGATGAAACTCATGTTCTCTCTTTGCCTGAATTCAGCATATATGTCAATTTCTGGTAACTTAAATCAGTCAAACTGACAGCCTTTCCAATGCAAAGTCAAGTTCAGTCGGCCCAAGGAAGTGCTCAGCTAAATGAAGGGGCTGGAGTGACAGACCCAAGCCTTTCCCAGTGAGCCTTCTATGAACTGCTGATTCCCAGAGCACCAGTATGTGTGTGTGTGCGTGCACACTTGTGTATATATACAGGGAGTTCTAGTGGTTTAGTGGTAAGGAATTGTGCTGCAAAACCACAGGTACACTGCTTGAACTACCTGCTCCATAGGAGAAAGATGTGTAATCTCCTTCCATGCCTCTGAAAACCTGATGGAGGGTCAGCTATTTAACTCGACAGTACACCACCACAATAAGAATATATATATATATATATCACACACACACTCTTTTTTTAAAAAAGCCCTGGTAGCCTAGTGGGTGAGGAGTTGTGCTTCTGACCCCAAGGCAAGCAGTTTGAATCTACCAGCTGCTCTGAGGGACAAAAACGGAGGTAATCTCCTCCCTGTAATTTACAGCCTCTGAAAACTCACTGGAGGGTCAGCTATGAGTCAGTTCTAATTTGACAGCAATGTGCAACATATTTATTTACACACACATACACACATCTATTTATTTATGTTAAGTCACTTAGATTGAGAAACAGCTGATCTCAAACTATCCCCTGGGATGGCACAGATTTTCCACTTAATTTATACTCCTTTCATTTCACTAAGTGCCGAATAAAGATTTCTCATCCCAAGTCTTTCCAGGTTTTCTTTCTTTACCTTTCAAGTCTTCTTATCTCTTCCCTCAAGAGGCTCTGCAGCTCTAGCTTTTCCAGGATAAGCTCACACTGCATCCGGTACTGCTCCAAAGGGTTCTCTGGGAAGGAAGTATGGAGTGCATTCACTCCTCCTAGCAGTGCACCTCCCTGAGGAAGGAGAAAACGAAAACCATCAGGAAATGTCCCCAGGCCCAAAGGCACATGGTTCAAATCCACAAGCTGCTTCGAGAGAGAAGGATGCACAATCTACTCCTTTGTAATTCACTGCTTCTGAAATCCCGCTGGAGGGTCAGCTATAGGTTGGTCCTGACTCGACAGCAATGAACGACAACAACATAACCCATTTCTGGTGGCAATCATTGGTCTACAAAGGTACCGTCCCTAATCGCAGCATGGACATCTTCAGGTGTGCTGAGAAGGAAAAGAACTGAGAACTACTTCTTTAGATCAATGGACAAAAACAACGCCACTAATTCTGTCAAAGTCTTCATGACATTTTTAAATCTTTTAAGCTCCTTTTTTGGGGTGTATTTCCAAGAATTATTAGATTATTATTAGAATAATAACATAATTCCTAATGCAATAATAAATTATCTTATTTCTCTGAAGCAACAGAGGAAGAAGGAAAGTCAGGAATAGGGGGAGAATATGGAATGAGTGGCTTATTGCCTCTCTGAGTAACTGTCTGCTTTGTCACGAGATCAGAGTAACTGGATGATGTCCAATGACCTTTACTAAACACCTTCATTAAAGGGTCTATAGAAAAATTCTGATTCAAAGGGGAACATGCAGAACAGAATTTCAAATTATTATGGACTTTAGGAGTAATGCTGACTAGATGAACCCATAAACCCTAAATCAACAATATTCTCTAAAGTCTTTTGAAAACAGAAAAACAGTTTACCTTAATTAGGGAATGTCTGCCTCGAGTATTATGCTCTTTTAAGAACTATTCATACATGATGAAAGTGACAATAATTTTTTATAAGAATCTTAGGGGACAGTGACTCAATATTAATGAAAGAGGAACAACTCAGGAGAAGAAAGCAACAAGGGCTGCACAACCAGAGGAATATAATCAATGTCAATGAATTACACATACAGAAAATATTGAACAGATACATATTTTTCTGTGTATATTCTCAAGGACAGTAACAATAAAAATAGTCTTACCCTAGAAAGCTGTACCTCCGGTAATTGTTTTGATGTGCTGTCCAGTCAATACAACTGGTAGCAAGCATATGAATGACAGATCGGCACTTTACCCTACTCTGTGCCATTTTCACGATCTCCAACGTGCTTGAGCCCACCGTTGTCACTACGTCAATCCATCTTGTTGAGTGTCCCCCTCTCTTTCCTGACTCTCCACCTTTCCCAGCATGATGTCTTTTTCCAAGGACTGGCTATGTCTGATAACATGACAAAGTATGTGAGATGAAGTTTCACCACTCTTGTCTCTAAGGAGCCATCTGGTTGCACTTCCTCCAAGTCAGACTTATTTTTTCTTTTGACAGTCCATGGAACATTCAGTTCTCTTCTCCAGCACCACTATTCAAAGCCACTGAATCCTCTCTCATCCTTATTAACTGCACAACTTCCAGATGCATAGGGAGTAACTGAAAATACCAAGGTTTGGATGATGTGCACCTTAACCTTTAAACTGATTTTACTGTTTCTTGGCACTTTGGAGAGGTTCTTGACAATAGATTTTTCCCAATGCAACATGTTTCTGATTTTTAACTGTTGCTACCATGGGTGTTGATTATGGATCCAAGTAAAAGTAAATCAATGACAACTATAATCTTTTTCTCTGTCTATCATGATGTTACCTACTGGTTCAGTGGTGAAGATTTTCAAAATTACATATACAAAAAATGCCTACCTGCATTGAGGATTCCATTACTGATACCACGGTTACAGCATCTTCCAGAGTCACAGTGTCACGAAACATCAGGCGAGCATGAGCTAAAAAACAACCAGCATTTGAAATTATCAAGATAAGTATGATTTTTTAAAAAAAATGAGTATTTGAGGTAGTAATATAGTTCTCTACTTGACGTCTCCCTTGCCAAAACTGCATTTTTTTATAATGATTTACTAGAGCATAAACAAATACTTCAAGTTCAACTAGCTTTTAGATTATTAAATAATTTTTTAAACCGTTTTCTGTGTTGCAGCAAACAATAAATGCTGGAGAGGTTGTGAAGAAATTGGAACCCTTATTCTCTTCTGGTGGGAGTGTAAATGGAGCAACCACTATGGAAGGCAGTTTGGCGCTTTCTCAAAATGTTGGAAATAGAAATATTGTTTGATCCAGCAATTCCACTACTGGGAATATACCCTAAAGAAACCATAACCGTCATCCAAACAGATATATGCACACCCATGTTTACTGCTACATTATTTACAATAGCAAAGACGTGGAAGCAACTCAAGTCCCATCAACAAATGAATGGACAGAAAAAATGTGGTATAATCATACAATGGAATACTATTCAGCATGGAAAAACAATGAACTTGTAATACATTATACAACATGAGGGACCCTGGAGCACATCATGCTGAGTGAAATATCTCAGTCACAAAAAGACAAAATGTGCATTGCACCACTGTTAAAAATTAGATCTAACATGCGGGTGGGGAGGAGAATAGGCTAAGATTGGATAGATAATAACCATTGCATTGGAACAGATGAAAGAAAGAAAGAAGTGTCTAAAAGGAATACATGATTAGGCATTAAACGCACAATAACAGTCCAATATATCATTGCAAAGAGGACTTGGGGTTGGAGGGAAGGTAGGTAATTGTGCAACAATGAATACATATATAAAAAGAAAAAAAAGTAAAAAACTGGGGGCAGGGGAAGGAAGGGAGAGGGGGTAAAATGTGCCACACTGAATGAATGAAAATCTAACTTCCTTTTTTTTTTTAAGAAAATCTAACTTCTTTATAAACATTAAAATCACAACTAAAATTTTTATTTACAATTCTGTGTCATTCATAGTAATTTTGTATATTAATATTCTGGGTCTAGAAAATAAAGGACCTATTAAGCATATATATATAAAATATTCAACAATTTGTAATCCTCAGTTTTTACTGTAAAAATACAAAAAATTTTAATAATAAAAGATTTCTTTGTCATCACTGATATTTCTTTTCATCTATGATAGTTTTTCAAAATAGCAATTTTGGATATTTCTTGCTCTAATATTAGCAAGAAATCCTTGAGAGAATGAAATCCATTTATTTTCTGATACTTCTTTTCAGCTTATATTATTTATCGTATGACCCATGTTTAATACTTTCACCATTGTGAGGGGGTTTTTTACAGTTAAAGAAACAAGGGATATATGTAACAGATGTAAGAGGGAAAGGTCTGACATGCGTATTAATTGCATGTCTACATATAAACTTTAGAAATCAGGTAAGGCAAGGCATTGGAAATTTGTCAACGGGATTGAGGACGGTTTTAATAATAGAAGAATAACGGAGGATGGGTTATAACTAGTGAATAAACCCCAAAGATGTCATCCTGGAAACAATTCCCAAACACGGTACTGCTGTCGTTTTATACTGTGGAATCAGAATCGACCCACTGCTGACCCTCTGGTGGGTTTTCAGAGGTAGCTAATTGCAAGAAAGGAGACTATCCATCCTTCTCTTGCGGAGCAGCTGGTAGACTTGAACCGTATGTCTTCAGGATTGCAGTGCAGTATCTTGCCACTAAACCACCAGAACTCCCTAACAAGATACTAGTGTACACTTAGCATTTATAATAGAGTTGCCACTGAGAAACAATGTGTTTAGTTACTGGAGGTCCTGAGATGTCACAGGAATCTTCCTTTATAATACTAAATCCTGTCCAATACCCATAATCTGCTCCCAGAAGAGGAGGTTTCATAGCTCCCCACCTTTACTTCTTAAGCAGCTATGACTAGCAGTCCCTGGGCAGCCCAAATGATTAAATGCTCAACTACAAGTTGAAAGTTTAGTCTGAACCCACTCAGGGCCACTTCAGAAGACAGAGCTGGTACTGTGCTTCCGAAAAGTCACAGACTTGAAAATGCGGTGGACTGGACACCAGAGCTCCCTGCTGGGTCACCTTAAACTAGTCTAATTCATCTCTGAATCCAGAGCGCCAAGCCCATGCCTTACACATCTAAGGCATGCAATAAAAATCTCTTTCGTTAGAGGAGACAAACCTTCTGCTAATCGGATCAAGCTTTCCAAGAGGCGGATGGTTGTTCGAGCCGCGTTCCGGGAATCACTCTGCCGCTGCATCTGGTAGTACCGGAGAAGAACTTGATTACCTGCGTCAGACAAAGTGGGCTGCAGCTTCCGGATGAGGCAGAAGTAGGTTTTCATCTTTTCCATGCTCCACAGCTTCTCTGATCTGCTTGGATAACCTGTATGTACCAGCCAACGGGTCAGTAATTAGCAAGGACAGGTAAACAGCTCATTCTTAAAGTTCTTATGCTCATTTTTTAAAAGATGGCCTTTACTTAGCTTTTATGGCCTTTCAAAGCCACACACCTGTTCTCTGCTTGGCATACAGCTTTACAATAAGCCCAAGGGAACTAACCTTAATAAATGTAAGTAAGCTTCCTACATGGGTTAAAATGATTCAAAACAGTGATGGTCTGTCCTTCAGTAACTGACTCATTGCAGCGCTCCAAGACAAAATAGAACTGGATGACAGGGGGGTCTGAGGGTGGAACTCTTTATGGGTGCAGAGTGGTCGGTCTTAACTAATGATCTTTCCATAAGCAGTTCAATGCTTAATCCACTTTACTATCAGGGCTACTCTGAGTCAAAATCGACTTTGGAGCATTGGACCCAGCAAATATATTTTAAAGAGAAGCCTCCATTTCGATACTTCTTTTTCATAATTCTGCCCAGGTTTGTTTGTGTGTAGGAGTTAAGTGGTAATTATGTATAATAAGACCACACTTTTCATCATAACGGACAGACTTTATATCAATAATGCCTTGGTGGGTATAGAGAAACCTTTTTTTGTTTCGTTCATTATTTTGAGGTATACTAACGAGCTCCGTTGACTTACTGCTTTTTGTCTAAACATCTATTTCTCTTATTAGGCAAGGCACTCCCACATTTCTCAAATTTTCTTCCAAGGCAATTTCATTTGATTATGGCTAATCTTCCTTTGTCACTTTGAATAATTTGTCTTCACATACCTTTATTTTCTAAGATAAAGGAGGAAATGATACGATCCCAGTCTTCGTTCTTGGTATCAAGCAGAACTAGAATCAGGTCAAACCGGCTTAAGAGTGGGCTACCAAGTGCGATGTTCACAGACACAGACTCTTGGGGGTCGTATTGGCCTTTCGGGTTTGTTGCGGCCAGTATGGTGGTCCTTGTGTTCAGCTTGCACACGAGGCTATTAAGGGAAGGACAGAATTCACCGACTGATGAGATTAAAATAGAGGCAAGGTTAAAGTTGTTAATAAAATGGGACCACTTATACCTTAACAATCTACAGACACACATGTTAGAGAAAATATGGAGTGATACAAGAGAATATCATCAAGATTAAGTTCAAATGCAGCACATTTAAATTGGCCTAGCTTCTCTGTGGGACAAAGATGGGAAGTCTCCTTCTGTTACAATTTATAGTTTGGAGGCTCAGTGAAGGGTTGCTATGAGCCAGACCAACTCAGCAGCAGCAAGTTTGAGTTTGAACTTTAAGATAATTAACTGTTCATGAAACACTTCCGATGTCTCTACATGGAGCAGATTCTTCTAGTCCATGCTTTATGGGATATGAATATAAAATTAAACCTAACATCTAGAGTACTTTATCTACTTGCATCACACTAGCTGTAATGATAACACTGTTGTTGTTGGGTGCTGTTCAAGTGATTCCAGCTCACACCGACCCGAGTACAATGATGCACTGCCTGGTCTGTGCTGTCCTCAGTCATTGCTATGTTTGAGCCTGCTGTTGGAGCTCCTGATTTCAATGAAGGTCTCTTTTTCACTAATCCTCTACTGCACCAAACATAATGCCCTTCTCCAGGGATTGGTGTCTTTTGACAATATATCTAAAATGTGTGAGAAGTCTTGTGTTCCTTACTTCTAAGGAACATTCTAGGAAGATTTGTTCACTCTTCTGGCAGTGCAAAATATATTTAATATCAAATATTTCAACTATGTCAACTCTTGTCTTTCTTATTTATTGTACAGCTTCCACATGCATTAGGCATTTGAAAGTACCAAGGCACAAACAAAACCAGGGGTACTTTGCTCCTCAAAATGACATCATTACTTAAAAAAAATGGGTTTCATACAATTGTTCTTCTATATTTTTTAGAATATTAACTACATACAGTTGATCAAAACCTTTTGTCACTACACCTCATCAAATCCTCATGTGCCTATTTCTTCACCTCACTCATCCATCCACAAATTTCTGTTGCCCTAGTCTCCTCTCTCTCCCCCTCTTCTCCTTCCCTTTCCCTATTATAACAGTTATACATATCCTGTTCCAAGTTACTAATTATAGTGCCTGTATTTTCTAGCCTTCCCTTCTTCCAAGGTTGATTCTCTCTTTCCCTATCCTTCACAGTGCTCATTATCTGTACATTCCATTTTTGCTTTCTCTGTTCCCCTCCTTCAACCTCAATCACACTCTTACTGTAATAGTAAGAGTCTTCTATTTTATGACTGAGTTATTTCACTTGGCATAATGTCCTCTAGACTCACCCATGTTGTACAGTATTTTATGAATTCTTCATTGTTTTTTAATGGTAAATAGTATTCCACTGGGAACACTGATGTTCCTTGGAGAAGGACTTCATGCTTGGGAAGGTGCAGGGTCAGCGAAAGAGAGGAAGACCCTCAACCAAACGGATTGACACAGTGACTATGGCAATGGACTTTAAAGTGTCAGCAAGTGTGAGGATAGCATAGGATAGGCTGGGTTCAGCTCTGTTGCTCTTAGGGTTGCTATGGACCATACTCAACTTGACAACACCTAACAACAGTATTCCATTGTGTGAATATATCACAATTTTCAATCTATTCATTTGCTTATGGGCATCTGGGCAGTTTCCATCTTCATGCTATTGTGAATAATGCTGCAATAAACACAGGTGTAGTTTTATCTGTCCAAGTCTCAACTGTTATTTCCCTGGGGATATACTTCCATTAAGTGGAATAGCTGTCATATGAGATTCATCTTTTGAAGAAACACCAGTCTACCTTCTGTATTGGTTGTATCATTTTACGTTCTCTACATTTTAGAGTTCTAATCTCTTTGCATCCTCACCAAAATTTATTGTTGACGTCTCTATTTTTAATATTTAAAAAAATCTAGTGAATTTTATCTCAGAATTTTTATCATTTGATATTTTTAAAATTAATTTTTACTTCCTTCTTATTATTGTTAACCATCCAATTATGATACTATTGTGTGCTAACCTTTCCTTAGATATTCTAATAGTCATAACCATAACCTCTGTGACTTAGGTCACTCAGCATAATTTGTTCAGATTCATCCATATTTTAGAATAAATCTCAAATTCTTGATTATTTTTTAATGAAGCATCATGTTCCGTTGTGTAAGTGTATTATTCCTTCTTTAGTTATTCATTTGTTAATGGATACTTGGGTTGTTTCTGGATCTTTTTTATGGTACATAATGCTGCAATAAATAAAGAGTTTTGGGCATATATCTGTTTATGTTACAATTCTTACTCCTTTTTGCTTTATTCCTAGTAGTGGGACTGTGGCACTAAATGGTATTTTTTAAGGAAATAGCAACTGTCTAAGGATTGACCCAGTGATTGAGGAAAGAAGGTAGGTGTGTCAAAGATGATGAAATTGCCTCAGGATAGAGCAATGTTCAGAGCTGTTGTACATTGGGACACTATGTATTGTAATCAACTCAATGACACATAAAACCAACAACGAATCACCAAACTGCTTTTTAAAGGGTAGTACCACTTTACATTGATATTTTCTTAATGCTTCAAAGAGGTCTTTTACAGTAAATTTGCTCAATGCACTATTTATTATTTTTATAAATTATTATTATTATTAACATAAATGAAAAAATAGTCATTTATTTACTATTTACTATTTAAGGGCCTGCCTTTAATTGCTTTTGGCGAAACATTCTTCTGGGTTGTGTCACCCTGGTATGTCCATTTGCTTTACAGAGATATTTTGTGGTTGCTGTGAAGCCGAACACTGTGACACTGATGAGTCAAATGTGAGAATGGTCAGTGTTTGGTGGAGCTCCCTGATTAAATTAAGCTTGGAAGCAGCATTGGCATACAGTTCCATAATAGCTTGCCTCTGGAAACCCTATGAACCCGGAGAAAGGACAAAAGTTATACAGGAGGTGTCCAGGGTTGCTATGAGTTGCCTACAACTCGATGGCACTGAATACCAACAGTAGTAACAACTGTTTAAATGGACATTGATTGTGGATCCAAGTAAAAGGAAATCCCTGACAATTTCAATATAGTTTTTTTCAGTCAGAGGGCTGCTAATTTGTCCAGCTGTGAGTTTATTTTTAAACTCTGAGAAATAATTCACATTGAAGGCTATAATCTATGATCTTTATTGGTCAATATATTTCAAGTTCTATTCATCTTCAGTAAGCACAGTTTTACCATCTGGATGTCACAGGTTGTTAATGAGCCTTCCGCTAGTCCTGATACCACATTCTCATCATATAGTCCAGCTTCTTGAATACTCATCATACAATTTGCTGTGCTGTGGTGGCTTTTGTGTTGCTGTGATGCTGGAAGCTAGACCACCTATACTTCAAATGTCAGCAAGGTCACTCATGGTGGACAGGCTTCATCGAAGATTATAGACTAAGACAGGCTAGGAAGAACCTGGTGATCTATTTCTGGCAAATGCAGTCAGTGACAACTTTATGAATAGCAGCAGCAGAACACTGTTTGATATAGTGCCAGAAGTTGAACCCCTCAGGTTGGAAGGCACTCAAAGTAAGACTGTGGAAGAGCTGCTTCCTTAAAATTGAGTTGACCTTAATGATGTGGATCCAATAGAGGTTTTGGGACCTCTATTTACTGATGTGGCACTAAACAGAGGTAAACTCTTACTAATACTCTGAGTGGAATGTACTAAATATGAATCTAGGAAAGTTGAAAGTTGTGAAAATTAAATAGGACCCTTTAAAGAGCAATACTCTAGGAATGAATGAAATGGACTGACATCGACCATTCTGAGTCAGATAATCAATAATATACTCTGTTAGGAATGACAAGTTGAAGAGGAACAGAGTAAAAAGAACATTTCAAGACTCATCCTGAAGTACAAATACTGTCAGTAAAAGATACAAACATCTAAAAAGGTAGAGAAATTGAAACATTTTACCTACTTTTACAATATTGGTCAAACATGCAATTAAGACAAGTTAATAATCATAGGTGACTGAAATGCAAGACTTAGATAAAAAGTACTGGTAGTTGGAAAATATGGCTTCAGTGGTAGAAACAACACGGTAGAATTTTGCAGGACAAATGGCTTACTCATTGAAAATATGATAATAATATAAGGCAGAATATGAAAAGTTCTACAATATACATATGAAGTTTCCAGTAGATGTAAGGATTAGATATATAGATATATAGATGATAGATATAGATACAGATATAGATATATAGATATATATAGACATATAGATATATATATGAAATTATTTTTTTACTTTCTACCTTTTGGAGTGATCATTTTATTTTTTTTTAAATTTTCTACTAGTTCATTTACAAAATTTGAATACATTTTGTTCCTGAATTTGTTCTTGATGTATATTTAATGATACAGTTTGTTGTTGTTGTTGTTATGTGCCGTTGAGTCATTTGTGACTCATAGCGACCCTATGCACAACAGCCCTAAACCCTGCTCTATCCTGCGCCAACCGCACCGCCTCTGACA